CCTGCGCTGGCGACGCCGCGACGGCATTGACGGCGGCTGCAGGCGCTGGCGGGCTCGATGCCGACCCCAGCAGAGCTGGGCCCACGCCGCCCCAGCTCGCAGGCTCCGCGACCCTGATCTCGCGCACGCGCGCCCGCCATCGAGGCGTGCAGTTGGGCAGAGTGGGCCGCCGAGTCAAGGTTGCATGGCGGCCCTTCATCGCGCGCCGCCGCCGCCGCAGCGCGCGCGCCGCGTGCGCGAGCTGCTGGGCGCTCGCGGGGTCGTCGCGTTCAAGTGCTGCAAGGTCGCGGTCAATTGGGCGCGCGACGCGCCGACGGCGCGCTGCAGGAAGTATCCGAGGCCCTCGTAACCCGCCATGAATGGACCGGCGTGCTGCGCCCGGTTGCGAAGGACGTCGGGCCGCGCGAGAAGGATGTCGACGCGCCCTTGCTGCGCCATGTTGAAGCTCATATGCGCTGGCAGCCGCTGGCACTCGAAGCGCGCTCTTTCTCGCCAATTTCGCGCCGCCGCTCGGCCAACCTGCGCATTGAGAAGGTCATCGGCGGCGCTGGGTTGCCGTTGATGAGACTTCCCTGGATCGGGGCAGTTGGCGGCCATTCGTCCACGTGCTCGCGTGCCGCGCTGGTGAGGCGCACCGAGACGTAGGCCGCCTGGCGGAACTCGCTGAGGTCTGGGCTCGCCAATGATCAGATCATTACCTCCTGCGCCCATTTCCGGAAAGACACGCGAGCTCGCTGCTCGGGCCCCCGGCGCGGGGGTGTCGCGCGTTGCCCCGGCCTCCGCGTGCGACCACGCAAGAGATGCAACGGGCGATGGCCATCGCGCCCGCCCCGATGGCCAGCCATCCGGACCGTTGCTCTTCCGAGCGCCCCAGAAGCCGGCGAGCCACACCAGCGGCTCTGATCGGGAAGTGTGCCTCCGAGGCGCCGTGGGCCCTTGCCGCGGAGATTTTCCTCCTAATATGCAGATTGGGCGCGCGTTTTCGTCGCGTGGTTGCGGTGCTCCAGATAATCGGGCATCCCGTGATACAGTCACGGGAACGCTCCCAATTTGGATTCGCTGTCCCTCGGAACGTTGGCGACACAGTCGCCAAGCCTCCCATCGTTTCCCCGTTTTTCTCCGCTCGTTCCTCGCAGAGCTCTCGCGACACAGTCACCAGAAGCTCGGGGCCCCCACCCGATCCCCCAAATGTGAACGTCGTATCGAGCAACTGTCTGACATTTGCGGATACGCCCGCAAGCGGGTGCATTCACAGCGAGCGGTTCCGCGAAAAGCGCTGACACAATCAACGCGCGCCCGGAAAAATAATTGTGTCCTTGAAGGCTTCGCTCGTGCATCGTGCGCTCGAAATGGCACTGGTTGCGCACGTTCCCCGTCGCTGCTCCTGGAGGCGGAGGGGCGGTTGCCCCGTATGTGAACAAATAGAGGCGCACGAACGCGATGAACGCGGACGACCTCCGTGGTGGACACCTGGCCGTGTGACCGCGGTCATGGAAACGATGGATACTTGGAGCTTGTGCGGCCGATGCGGAGCGAGCGAAAAACCATTGCGGCCGTGGTCTTGCAACCGAAGCCCCGCAACTAGAAAAGTATATGCAAAAGGTGAATATGAAGGCGGATATTTTACTGGCAGACGAACTGAAAGGTATGAAGGTGGTCGAATGAACGAAGAAGGCGGGCACGGGCGCAAAACTTGCCTGAGCCACTACAGCGGCGGGCCCAATCAAGGAAGGGCCAAATGGGCAGAGCAGGTACCGTTCGAACAGAGGGAGTAGAGGGAGGAGGAGCAAGCTGAGGCAGGAAAGAAGGAGGAGCAGGAGGAGGGAGGGGGAAGAGGAGGAGGAAGGGAGGAGGAGAAGAACAGCAGAGGACAGAGGAAGGGGACGAGGCCTGCTCGAAGTGCCCTCGCAGGCGCCAGGCGCGACACTGTGACCGGATGACCGGTCGACGGCCCCAGGTCGTGAGCCGCGCGCCGCTAGAGGACGAGTCGACATTGATGATAGCGGCATCTTCGAGATCCAGAGCGGTGGAGGAGGGAGGAATGCAATGGTAAGGAGGAGGGGAAGGAAGAGGAGAAAAACGAGGAGACAGCAGCATCAACGGAGGACACCTATGCCAACAGCGTCCAGAGTACAGGAGGAGGAAGAGGAGGCAGAAGGGGCGGAGGAGGAGGAGGAAGACGGAGGCAGAGGAGTCATGTAACTTCGCGCATCGCCCCACGGTGCAGAAAGAACGGTGGTCTTTGCGCTCTCGCGCCCGCGCGCCGTCTCCTATGCAGAGGGGCGACCGCTCTGGCCCAGACCGCGACGCGCGAAGCGCGACTGTCTTCGGGCCCCCGGCGGCGATCACGCTCGTGACTAGCCCTGCGGCCCCCCCCCCTGGTCACATCACGATTCGCGCCAGCGCCGGCGCGCATCGTGACGTGACGGGCCCCTCCCCCCCTCTCCCAACCCAACGTCACGCCCGCTGCCGCCAAGGGATCAAAAGAATGCCTCCAGAAACTGAGCGTGATGGCCTCTAGTCTGGAATTCATATCCAAACCAGCTGCGTCAAAGAAAATGCTTCAGCAGAGCTGCTGTGGTTTCAGGTCGTTCAAGGCAGCTGCGAATGCCCCAAAAGCAATGACGACGAACGGGGTAGAGAACCGCGGCAATCGTGACGCAATGTGGCAACCGTACTCTAACAACACAGCACTTGGGACAACGAAATCGTAATCGAACCATTTCGACCTGGAGGCGAGACTCTTCCCACACGAAGGCGGGCGACACGCGCCATATACACGACATACCGCATAGACCACCCTTCGGGTGATAAGGAGGTGAGGGGGGGGGAGGGACCAACGTCGCACTCGATCGATCTCACTATCGAACTCACTACCGATCTCACATTCGATCTCAATCCATAGATCTCACAATCGATCTGACTATCGAGCTCACAATCAATCTCACAATCGATCCCACAATCGATCTCAATTTCGGTCTCGCTATCGATCTCGCAATCGATATCACAATCGATCTCGCATTCGATCTGACTATCGATCTCACGATCAAACTCACTATCAATATCATTATCGATCTCACATTCGGTCTTACTATCGATCTCACTATCGATATCACAATCGATCTCACAATCGATCTCGCATTCGGCCTCACTATCGATCTCTCTATCGAACTCACTTTCGATCTCATTATCGATCTCACTATCGATCTCACTATCGATATCACAACCGAACTCACAACCGATCCTACATTCGGTCTCATCATCGATCTCACTATCGAAATCACTATCGATCTCATTACCGATAGTGATCTCACTACTAACTCAATCGATCGATCTCACAATCGATCTGACTATCGATCTCACATTAGATTCCACAATCGATCTCACATTCGGTCTCACTATCGATCTCACTATCGATATCACAATCGAACTCACAACCGATAGATTCCACAATCGATCTCACTATCGGTCTCACTATCGATCTCACTATCGATATCACAATCGATCTCACAATCGATATCCCATTCGGCCTCACAATCGATCTCACTATCGATCTCATTATCGATCTCACATTCGGTCTCACAATCGATCTCACAATCGATCTCACAAGCGATCTAACATTCGATCTCACGTTCGATCTCACAATCGATATCACTACCGATCTCACTATCGATCATCAAAATAAAACATCAACATCGTCATCATCATCACCATCATCATCATCATCATCATCATCATCATCATCATCATCATCATCATCAAACTCATCATCATAATCGGGACACCGACGGGACACCGGCGGGACACCGCGGGGCCCCGGCCGCCCGGAAGGGAGACATTTGGTCTGGCCGCGCCTCAGCCACACGGGACACCAGCGAGACACGGGCGGGACACCGCGGGGCCCCGGCAGCCCGGAAGGGAGACAATTGGTCCGGCCGCGCCTCAGCCACAGGAGACTTTCTCTCGCCCGCCCACGCAGCTTCGCCTCGCCCGCACGGCACGCACGAACACGAAATCGAAATCGATTCCCAGTAGGGGGGCTCTCCGTTCCACTTCGATCTCACCCCCTCACCTCCGACACGCGCCACTACCTGCTTTTTGGGATGCCAGCGGTTCTCAACTAGCCAAGCCGCACTTGTGTGCACTTCGTTTTCAGAAAATTGATCAAACATACATGCGTGTTCATACGGTTGGGCGCGGATGTGCATGCGCCAACAGACGCGGTGCGATACAAGACCTGTAAAATGACGCGCACTGCAATTGTCAGCCGAGCCCAATAACAAAGCTGCGTATACTGGTATACTGGCGCAAGACCCGACCAGATGCAAATGTGACTACCGCAAAGTAGATGGGACGAAGGATGCGGGACCTCCCCATGAACCACGGAACGTGTGAGGTGTGTGGCGAAGTTGGCGGGGAGCCGCATGTGGACGCACCCACGTCTTATGTGTAGCTCCCGAAGAACCACGAAACGTATGAGGTGTGCGCCGGAAATAAGGGAGCCGCATGTGGACGCATGCACTAGGGGCGTCGGTGGAGCCCCTTATGGGGCCAGGAACCGCTGGGGACGCACCTTAGGTGGAACTCCCTCATGGGCAGCGAGCCGTGTGACGGGTGTACCGAAATGAAACGGCGCGCCTTACGGACTCTTCCACTGAGGCCTTCGGTGGAGCTCCCTATGGGGCCACAAACCGTGTGAGGATGGTGTCCAAACAGTGATGATGGTGGCGATGATGATGACATGCGGAGATCAGAGGGAATGAAGGTAGGGGGGCGTGAAGAGGCAAGAAGAAAGTGAGGACGCAGGCGCTACGGATTCGAGACGAGGACCTAACACAACACAAAGTGGTTGAGGATCAGTATGGGCACACTCCGCAACTTCACATGTGAGTAGACTCGCATCCCTGATTGCATGACTGCCAAAACCGCTCTGCACAATTCAAGACGATCGGTGCACGCAGCAGGCGGGCCAAACAAAGCGGCGGCAGCAAGTGCTCGACCAGCCCGTCTCCCATTTCTGGACTCCCGCGTCGCAATCGAAGGCGTTACTGGTCGTCGATGTGAAGCAGCCCTGAAGATAGGTGTCAAGAGGGAGACAAACATATGGATGAGCGCACGAGAAGTCGGGGACAGGCACACATACTTGGAGGGTGTCTGAACTGATCGGGGGCCCAAGGAATCGGCCAGGAAAGGGGGGATGACAACAAATCCGCTCAAAATCGGTCCTCGGACCCCTCCCGGAGTCCATCTGGTGTAATTTTTCACCCCAGATCCGTTTCTGACGGCCCAGGGGCCCGAAGACGGCCCCCGGGGGACGAACAAAAACAAAAAACGTTCCCGAACCCAGCACCTCGAACCTGCCCGCCTGTCCTGCTGGCCGGAACCAGCACTGGGCCACGCCAGACTCCCCCAGCCGGCTTCAAACACAGACAGACAGAGACAGACAGAGACAGACAGGCATAAAGTGGAACGATGTGCGTCAGTGACGTGAAACACGAGGCGCCGGGCAACAGCAGCTGGGACGCGGACCGCCAGGAAACGTCTACGCGTCTACGCCCAAAAAGTTTGGACCCCGGCTCCAGATTGCAAATCCGCCGACCCAGTCGGCGTGTGCGAGGGGCTTAGCTGTTCGAGTCGTCGTCTCCGTCGGTCGTCGCCTCCGTCGTCCCCTTTCCCTGCAGCTTCCTTCTCAAGCTCGTGAGCGAGAGAAAAATCTAGCAGTGTCGTAATCGGGTCGAAGGAAAGCCCCTTCCCTTTGACCCCTTCCCCAGGGGGGGGGTCCCGGGGCGGGTCCCGGGGGGGGTCCCGGGGGGGGTGATGGGGGGCAGATTAGTCCCACCAGCCCTCTGGGCGTCGGTGGTTTAGGGCGTTTCCTCTTCCACCCCTCCCTGTTCCCCTTCGGGGAAGGGTTTACCCCTCCCCCTACCCCCTCCCCACTGACCTGGACAGAAGGGGCGGGGAGCGGTCAGAGCGTCCAAAAAGGCCTCGGCGAGGATGCCAAAATCATTGATTTTACCATGGTTTGGGCCCCATTTTGGCCTTCTGAGGGGGCACCGCTAATTAAAGCTCCCCTCTTCTTTGATCGATTTCCTCCACGATGGCCGCAAGAGGCCCCCAGGATGCCCCAAGAGGCCGCAGGATGGCCCCATGATGGCCCCAAGAGGCCCCCCAAGAGGCCCCCAGGAGGCCCCCAAGAGACCCCCAAGAGCCCCAAGAGACCCCCCAGAGGCACCCAAGGTGCTCCCAGAGGCCTCGGCGATAATGTCAAACCACTGTTTGCACTAAGGTTTTAGCCACATGTTGGCCTCTTGGGAGGGGGCACTGATTGAGATGACTCCAGGATGGCCCCAAGAGGCCACAAGAGGCCCCCAGGAGGCCCCAAAGAGGACCCCGAACGGCCCACAGAGGCCCCCCCGAGGCGCCCAAGACGCCGAAAAGCCCCTCAGGACGACCCTCTACTCGCCTGGGCGTCGTTTCTGGACGGGCTGGTGGGAATACTGTTTTTCAATTTTTTTCGTGTACAGCCGCGGGCGGAAGCGCCAGCGGCGGCGAGTAACGGTCGGGCTGCGGCCGAAACTAGTTGGCCGGACGCGCGCGCGGGCCGCGGCCGGCGCCGGGGCGGCGGGCGCAAGGGTGCTGCAACCCAGGGTGTCTGACGCCCAGGGACCTGCACCCAGGGAGTCTATAACAACGCTGCCAAAATGGCGCGATGCAAATAACCTTAAGGTGTCTGAGGCCATGGCCAAGCAGTACGCCGCTTGGGTACACTGTCGGAACAGTAGGAAATCTGCAAACCTCGGCGCAGCGAATGGCGTACCATAGAGTCCCAGGGTGTCTGAACCATGCTCAAGCAGAAGCGTCCGAGAGACGCGCAAGCTGTCGCCTGACTGCATACCGTAGGGAGAGGTTGGACTCTGACAGCACCGACCCGTCGCAGCTTCAGAGTACGCGCCAACGCAGCCAAACTGGCGCGAAATTCGTGGTGTCTGTAACCGAGCAAGGCACGTCAGGCCCGGGAAGACAACCTCGAACAGAGATGCGTTCGCAAGCGAGCCATCAGGTAACATGATGTGACGCTACGCGGAAGGTACAACTGTCCCAATCTTCTACCCGGCACAAGTCGCAGGCGACTAGCAACCAAAGATACGAGCAGGAACGCGTACCAGGGAGCATCTAACGTGACAAGCATACACAGAGCCACGCCTATCCTTGGTACCCTGGCGTACCAAGAGCGAAGTGTAAGAAAATGGCGCTCTGGGAAAACTGTGCTGCCGCTTACCAGCTGCAGCCGAAGCAACAACCAGCGGTCACGAAGAAGCCCAGGGAGCTAAGGGCCGCTCATCCAGGTAGAGCGGGGGAGCGACGATGAGATGATGTCAGTCCGGGCAACAGGAACTGGCGGCCAACAAAAGAAGCAGGCGTACGCACTAGGCACAGGTATAAGCTCAGTCCGCTGACCACCCGCGGCAACACTGTGACCGGTGCGCGCAGGTGGGTGCGCAACTGCGACCCTGCGTCCGGGCGCGGCAACAACGTCCTTACGGGTGGGCACACCACGCCACCGTGCCGGAGGCGTACCTCAACGGCTCAGAAGTGCACCATCTGGTCACGCGTTCGAAACCCGCTGTCGGGACGCCACCCGGCCAAGGTCGCTCCCAGGGAATAGCAGAAAAAACCAGCTGAAGGCCGCTGTACCTTAATAAAGAAACCCAGGGAGTGAGAGTGCGGTTCTGGACAGTGACGAGGCGAAGCCATCTTTGCGTCGGTCACAGAGCCGCGAGGCCGGGGGACGAAGTCCGACAGGGCCATAGGCGAAAACAACTACAGCGGGGCCAGGGGCCAACTATGGCCTGCACGCAACACGCCCCAGCGCAGTCATGCACACGGTACTGCTGGTAAACACACTTGGGTCCAAAGGCAGGAAGCGCGTGTACCAGGGAGGGCGGCTGAAGGCCGCCACGCGAGTATATGAAACGTAACCCAGGGAGGCAGCTGAAGGCTGCACAGAGTGTGGAAATCGGACGCTGCACCTGAATATCTTGGGGATGGGGGGGCTCAGTCGCCCCACCGTTGTCTCTTCTCGCCACGATCGTCTGGCCTGCCGCCACCACGCTTGCCTCCTGACTGCCACTGGTCGTCGTGCCAGCCAGAGCTCCAACCACTCTGCCAGTTGTCCCAGGCGTCCCAGGAGCTCTCAGCCCGGTCATACCAGCTGCTCTGCTGGTGGCTGCCCTTGCCCGTGCCGTCGGTCCTGGTGTGGCGCATGTGTTCGGACCGTACCGTTGCCCAGTCGATGCGGAAGTTATACTTCTTGTCCATCGCGTAGGCATCGTATCCACAGCGCTTCGTATTGGTGGGGATACGCGAAACGTCTATAATTTTTCCTCGGGCGGCCTAGAAACTTCGAACCAAATGAGGTCCGAATGCCCAAGATGGCCCCCGAGACGGCCCAAGAGGGCCCCGAGTCGCCCAAAGATCGGCCGAAAACGCCCAAGATAGCCCCAAGACCGTCCAAGAAGCCTCCAAGACGCCCCAGGCCCCCTCCAAGGGACCCCCAGGAAGCCCCAAGAGGCCCCCACGAGGCTTCCAAGCGGCCCCTCAAAGCGTCCCAAGAGGCCCACAAACTACCCCCAAAAGGCCCCCAAGAGCACTCGTCGTCGTCGTCGTCGTCGTCGTCGTCGTCGTCGTCGTCGTCGTCGTCGTCGTCGTCGTCGTCGTCGTCGTCTCCATTCAGGGTCGGCGGCACCGGCCGTAAGGCCTTCGCAATCATGGTGGATTTTGACGTCTTCCCGCCCGCAGGGGTTCGGCCGTCATCCGCAAATTCACCCCTCCCCCTTGCCCCGAAGCACGACTCCAGCGGCGGTGGATACGGATTCGCTGGGGTGTGCAAAAACGTACCGATATCGGTGCTCCCCGGGCCTTTTCCAGGGCGCGTTCTCGGCGGTTCCAGCCGTGACGACGAGGGACGGGCAGCGAGATCAGTCAATGCACCCCTTCCGCACCACCATTCTGTACACCATCCTTTAGCCCTTTCCGCTCCTTTGCCTTGCGCGCACTGCCCGATGAACTGACTGCTTCTGCTTCCGCAGCTATACCATTTTGGCTCTAGGGAAACGGAAAAGAGCGAGCCTGCGGCGCGCGCGTGCGTCGGCCGGCGGGCCGGCGTCCTCCCTTCAGAGTTACCCTAGTGTATGTTTGACGGCATGATCCCTTCTTCCCCATGTCCTCTGCGGAGCCCATTGACCATGATACTACATCGGAACATCTTGCAGGGATTATGAATATCCAGGCAAAAGACTACATCGGCATCTTTTCATCCTGCGCTCTGGCGGTGCAGGAGGGAGCAGCAGAATTGGAGGAGGGGGTCTGCAAAACCAGGCATAGGCCGCACCCGCACTCGGGCGGCAGCCTTGACTGATCCCCGCCTCTCCGCACGCGGGCGGCACGCGTCGTAGTCGCCTGGCCCACCCCGAATCGCAGGCAGAGACACCACCACCACGGTCGGCCAGGGCCGCCCTGTGCGCATGGCGTGGTGTACACGCCAGGGCCATCTTGGCCGAGGCCAGAAGGGTCTGTGCACCATCCCTGGGCCCCAGGACGGGCCTGGCCACGCATGGCGGGGGTGACAAGGAGAAGAGGAAGCGTCCTTGCCACCGCAAAAAAAAAACATAAAATGCTGCCCTGGGGCACCTGGAGTTGCTTGCCGTGACGCCTCTTTGGTAAGGTTCCCGGCAAGGGGAAGGCACACCGCACCCTGAAGGGGAATCGCTGGCGCTTCTCGTGCCTGGTACACGCGCGCGCCCACTAGGAGGGAGGGGATCAGTATGCTAGGCCTGCGGATATCGAACCGCTACAAACCTCAGAAACCTGAATTTGCTCCTCCTGATCCTCCTCCTCGGCTGTAAATAAACCGGACAACGCCAGACACCGCAATCTCCCACAAAATCGATGCGCCTTGTTCGCGTTCTTGCAGCACCAAGTCTTCTTCGGAACTGACCAGCCCGATTCCCACCTGACGTGAGCTTCGGGAGGAGGGGAGGATAAAGAAGCTGAAGGGGGAGGGAGAATAGAAAAGCAGGGGGGGACAAGGGGAAGTCAGGGAATTTTGATGGTGACAGACACGGGCACATAATGGGAAGGGGAGGGGGAAGAAAGCAGAGGAGATCAAACCAAAAAAAGGAAATCTTCCGTTATGACAAGCGTTTGCACGCACCCGCTGCTTGCTGAAACCGTACTGTCGAGAAGGATTGCGACGGAAAACGGCATGGATGCCAAAAAGAGGGGGAGGGAGGAAAGGGAAGCAGAGGGGTACGAGAGAAGAAGAGTGGAGCCATGAGGATAATTGGAAAGAAGGGCAATATGGAGGCCGAGGAGCCCAACATGTCGTCCTCCCCCTGTAATGTGTGCGCATGTGTGTCTCGCCCAGGCCCCGCTGGTCCACGCCTCCTCCATATCCAAGAAACAAACCTTGCATGTTTGCAAATCCATTCACATGTGTGCACGCGCATATGTCAACAGGTGACGGCGATCAAGCCCTCTTTTTTTCACAAGTACCGAGGGCGTCGTCCAAGGCGTCGTCCAAACAACCAGATTTCATGCGCGTGGTCCCGAAGGGGCAATGCAACCAGGAGGTGATGAACATGCTGAATAGCTGAAGAGCACCAAAGACGATAATGACAACCCCGGTGGCAAGTTGCCCCAATAAATGTTCAACGCTGGGGTCAAGTCCGAGCACGAAAGAACAACTCCATTCAAACCATACGTTCAGAATTGTGGTCAACTACATAACGGCACCAGCCTTACCAATACGACGAATCAGCTCCCAGTTCGCCGACGCCTGTCCTACCTGGGAGTTGTATGACGGCTGGATCTCTAGTGGTGATGCGTTGCGTCACGTTACCTGAGCAAACATCGAAAATGAGCACAGCATCGGATGCGCAACCAGCATTTGTCGTGCGAGATCAGGTTGCTCCTGACAAAATCTGACATGCGTGATTCACGCTCGGGAGCGCACAAAGCAAGTCTTCAGCTCAAGAATGTCAAGGAGGGCACGTGTGGACACTTGCTGCCCTGCACGAAGGAGCCTAGTGGCACGACAAACGACGGACGAAACGACAAACGACAGACGAAAACGACACGGCGCGCGAGGAGAGGGAGGGAGAGGGGGAGGGAGAGCGGGCAGGCAGGGGGCGCCCGCGCCCGGAGCAGCCCCGCTCACGGGAGGACGCGTCCCATACGCACGAGCCAACAATGAGCACCCGAGACCCAGTATACCGAGTCCTGAGTCGCCGTTCGCACGTGTACGCTCGATTGGCTCAGCAAGTGATCGCCAGTTCTTTGCACATGGTACACGCTGGAGCATCGAGGCAAGAAACTGGATACTGGAGGCCTTGCCTTGGCAGGGACACGCCCTATGGCCAAAAAAACATTCAATGCAGACGTGGACGCCCCTAGCTTCCTGGTGACGCACGTATCAAGTCGGGACTACGTGCCGACGCAGAGGTTTTGATATTCATTAACATGCCTCTCCTTTTCTACGATGGTGCGCGTGCCTGGCGGCCGGACAATTATATTGTCTTGAGATGGCCAGAGTGATATAATGCCATCGCACTACTTCGTTCAAGTCTCGGACATTAAGAAACAACGACAGGGCGAGGCATGGCGCAACCTTCAACATTTCGGCCCACATACGGCGGGACCGATTCCGATCACCGAGCGTGACACGCACAATGGTTGGATCAAACTGAGAATTCTAAACTCAAGCGTGCCCTTTGCTCTTGACGTGTCCTCACTGTCCCTCTGGATGTATGGAATTGCATCAAAATCCGCCACGACTCCTCAGGATCCTTCGGAGCCCCCGAGGTCCCTCACGGAACCCCGAAACCTTTTTGGGATTCTTCAAGGCCCTCAGCCCCCCCAAGATTCTCTAGAACTCTGCGATTCCCCCTGGGTGCGTCAGTGCTCATCAAGGTTTCTCAAGATTCCTAAGAATCCCACCAGCCCTTTGGGCGTGAGTGGTTTAGCGAGCTCTCTCTGTTCTCAACCCCCCTTCTTCCCCTTCGGGGAGGGGTTTACCCCTCCCCCTACCCCCTCCCCCTGGACCTGGAGAGGGGGTTTCGCGGGTGGTCAGAGGGTCCTTTTTCTATCCCTGGGAGGGCTAAAATTCCACACCCCTCACGAGGATCGTGGCCCCGACGGGGGTACAGACAAAAATGCTCGCCCCATCTGTGATCGATCGCCCCAAAGATGGCCCCAACAGGCCCCCAAGACGCTCCAAGAGGCGCCCAAGAGGGCCCCCGGACGCTCCCAAGAGGCTCAAAAGAGAGCCCAAGAGGCCCCTCTACGATCTCCAAGAGGCCTCCAAACTGCCTTGGATACGACTACTTGTACTACTACTACTACTACTACTACTACCACCACCACCACCACCACCACCACCACCACCACAACCACCACCACCACGACTACTACTACTACTACTACTACTACTACTACTACTACTACTACTACTACTACTACTACTACTACTACTACTACTACCACGACTACTACTACTACTACTACTACTACTACTACTACTACTACTACTACTACTACTACTACTACTACTACTACTACTACTACTACTACTACTACTACTACTACTACTACTACTACTACTACTACTACTACTACTACTACTACTACTACTACTACTACTACTACTACTACTACTACTACTACTACTACTACTACGACTACTACTACTACTACTACTACTACTACTACTACTACTACTACTACTACTACTACGACTACTACTACTACGACTACTACTACTACTACTACTACTACTACTACTACTACTACTACGACGACGACGACGACGACGACGACGACGACGACGACTACTACTACTACTATTACTCCTACTACGAAGGGCCCGAACGACTTGCAAGAGGACGAGGTGCCCGAACGCCTCACGCCACGAGGAGCCCGAACGACTCACACCAGGACGCAGGGCCCGAACGACTCACACCACGAAGAGCCCGAACGACTCACACCAGAAGGAGGGGCCCGAACGACTCACACAAGGACGAGGCGCCCGAACGACTCACACCACGAGGAGCCCGAACGACTCACACCACGACGAGGGCCCCGAACGACTCACACCACGAGGAGCCCGAACGAGTCACACCAGGAGGAGGGGCCCGAACGACTCACACGAGGACGAGGGGCCCGAACAACTCACACCACGAGAAGCCCGAACGACTCACACCAGGACGAAGAGCCCGAACGACTCACATCACGAAGAGCCCGAACGATTCACACCAGGAAGAAGGGCCCGAACGACTCACACCAGGACAAGAAACCCCAAACGACTCAAACCACGAGGAGCGTTTTCTCTCCCTCCTCCTCCGCCTCGTCCTTCTCCCGCTCCCACCACAAGAGGGATGTACAAGGAGGCGGGAGGAAGGAGGAACAGGGGAGATATGCGGGGGCAGGCGGAAACACGCCTGAAAAACACGGCTGTCGGCATGCTTCGCAAGAGTTGCTGTTTTGAAATGGGCTGGTGGGGATACGCGAAGCGTAAAGAATTTCTCTGCCTCAATCAGGACTCATAGGTTGCATCGTGATTGTTCAACATTCCTCCCGGTCCCTCAAGGCCCCTCGGAGGCCATCCGGTGTCTCCAGGGTTCCTCAGCCAGAGGAGGGGACACAATAGGGGAAGGGGGGTGAAGGGTGGAGGAGGGCAATTTTTTAAACACTTTCCAATTGAAAAGGCCCAGGCGATCGTTAGTCAGGGTTCTGCGGGGCCCCCAACGGCCGCGAGCAGCCCCAGGGACTCTCGGAGGCACGCCCACGTCAAAAAACTCAGCTCGCGGCGCCGCTCGCATCGTGAACCCCCCCACCATGGCCGACGGTCGAACTGCCCAAGCCGCAGACAGGGCGCGGCAGTGCCGCGAGGGGACCCTCAGGCGCGCTCCAAAATGCTGGGCCCGGGACCCAGCTACCCTCGAACGCCGAGCGTTCAGCGCTGGCAAAAAGGCATCGCAACATGCAGCACGCAGCAACGCAACCTCTAGAGGTCCAGGTAAAAAAGGATGGGGACATAACCAAAAAGGTTGCCCCGAGGGCCCACTTGAGCTCGACGTTCTAAACCCAATCCAATCGGGGACAAGTTGTGTTGACAAGAGGGCATCGACAGTAGTGGTGCACATCGTCTACGTCAAGGTTTCCTTCCTGAAAGCAACGCAACAAACGACCCCGCGGTTCAATGTGGAAGCGCGAGGGCGCGCGGATGGAGTTCGCGAAGAGTCTGGGGGGGGGGGGGGAGGGGGGGCGACGGGCACGCGCATCGAGGCGCGCTTCGCCGCCTCCCGCAAGTTCCCGCAAAAGACCTCGGGATACTTAGCATACGCATAAGAGACAATATTATGTGCCCGCCTGGGAATCTCTTTCGCGCCTTCATAATAATTGCCCTGCCGACGGGCAATGTGGCATAACTGGGTCTGAAGGTTCTTCTACGGGAAACCAATGGGCGGTTCAGTCGAACAGAACCAATCCCGGGACCTCCGAAGGTGAGAGATAATCGACGCAGAGTGCCAGCCCCATGCAACCGCAAGGGAACGCGCCCAAGATCTATCCGAACGTCTCAAGCTGCGCAGGAAACTGATCGAGAACAGTTGAGCGGATGGCGAATCTCGTGCTCGTCGCAGTAGACTGCGCGCCCGTCGAGAAATTCGGCCGCCAAGCCGATGGCGCACAGCTGGGTGGCAAGCTCGTGGGAGCTGGCATGCCTGGCCCCGCCGCGAAGGGCAATGCTCCTTCCTTGAAAGAGCGTGCCAGTTCACCGCTGGCGGGGCACAGCTGAAGTCTGAACCGAAGTGAAGGGCGCGCATAATTCGACAAAAGACCACCTCAAGCGACACACTAAGCCCAAGAGCACGCGCGAAGCTAGTCCGGTCGCGAAATTAGGGAAGCACTGGGCCCCAACCGCGGAGGCGCCCATCTGGCCCAATAGGGATGCCA